CACTAAGTGCATGTTTAACTTTATAAGAAACTGCCAGACTTTTCCAAAATGATAGTACCACATTGCATTCCCTTCAGCAGTATTTGAGAGACCTGGGTGCTTTGTGTTCTTACTAATACTGTTTACTGTCAGATTTTTTTGTTTTGTTTTTGTTTGTGTGTGTGAGGCTTTTTTGTTTTGTTTTTACTTTGTTCATATAGTTGTGTGATGGTATCTCACTGTGGTTTTAATTTGCATTTTCCTAATGACTATTGATGTTGAGCTTTTCTCATGTGTTTATTTGCCGTTTGTAGATCTTCTCTTTTAAAGCTTTTTGGTTAGTTTTATTGGTTTATTCTTTTTATTATTGAGTTTTGAAAGTTTTTTCTTATACTAGATAGAAATCCTTTATCAGATACATATTTTAGAAATAATTTTTCCCAGTTTAGGGATTAGCTTTTCATTTTCCTGATAGTGTTTTTGGAAGGGCAGAAGTTTTGAATTTTAATGAAGTGCTTTTTAAATCCATTTCCTCATAAGGGATATGATAGACTTACCAATCCCAAGTTCTGAGCCACCACCAAATTTTGAATTTCATTTTTTAATTTAGCAGAAACTTTTGTTTTTGTGTCTTGTGAGCTGTTACTTCTTTTGACTCTTCATTTTGTTTTAATTTACATTACCGATAGTAAGGCTGCCTTTTTTTTTTTTAAACAAAGTTTTGTTTAATTGCTCCACATAAACTATTGCATATGTGATGAGGATCAACAAAGCTGCCCTGGGTGACAGTGCTAAGTTACCCGCCAGGCTCACTCACTGGCCAGTGACTCCCACACACTAGCATCATAGAGAGTGATGCAAGTTTGTGTCTGAGCAGGATTATCGATCACTGCCTTTCCCCTAACATGTAGGTCCTTGAGGTCAGGGACTCTTTTAATTTTGTTGCTAGATCTAGAACACAGCCTAATAGGTCAAAAAATAATGATTGAATTCAAGTTACTGGCTTTCATGAAGGACAGTGCCAAATATCTCACAGCATTTGAGGCTGTGGCTCTCAGGGTTAGCTGAGGACCGAGGCCAGCACTGAACGTCAAAGCTTGAATGGCAAGGGACAGCGAGGAGCCCGTTCCTGGGGGCCTCACTTGCATCAGATCGTTTTCTGGAGCATGGAGAGAGAATCCTCCGACCCGGACCTTGACTGGTATTCCTTAGGGAGGCCTTAGTTTCTGACCTGAGAGAGGAACTTAGGTAAGTTCACACCAGCATTCTGAGAAAGCACATACTGTAGTGAGAGCTGAATCTCAGTAACTAGAGGACTCAAAACCATTTGTGGAGTTTTGCTGTTCCACCGCCTTTTGACTGCCTCAGGGTCTACATAGCTGTTCCCTCCCGCCCCCAAAATGGCGGAGGGATCAGGCCAAGGTTGAAGTCATTGGCAGAGCCGAAGCCAGGCTGCCTGTGGTGGAGCCCAGCTCATCTCCACCCCATCACCCCACATGCGTCCTGGTACTATTTTGGCTTATGGTGTGTGGTTTCAGCATTTGGGCCAGCTTTTTAATCACGACACAGTCCCATCTTTTAAGGGTTGGGTAAGTCCTCCCATGAGTTTGAGCAGGCTCTGGGAGTTGCTGATGGACAGAGAAGTCTGGTGTGCTGCAGTCCATGCGGTCACAAAGAGTCAGACACGACTGAGCAACTGAACTGAACTGAACTGAATCCTCCCAAAGAAGCAACTGCTGAAGAGAAGATTTTCCTCAAATGTTCAGGCCTTCTCTTCTTTCTAAGAGTCTTATTTTAAAGATAATTCAAGAGGGGAAAAGTGGAAGCTCCAGACTTAGGGCAAGGGAAGAATCTGGGGGAAGTGTGTGTGTGTGTGTGTGTGTGTGTGTGTGTGTGTGTGTATAAGGGTGTGTGTTTGGGGGAAGGGTATGTGTGTGTGTCTATGTGTATGCTTGCGTGTGTGTATGGTGGGCGGGTAGTGGGATGGCCTTGTGTGTGTGTCTGTGTCTGTGTGTGTGTCTGTGTGTATGCGTGCATGTGTGTGTGGTGGGCAGGTAGTGGGATGGCCTTGTGTGTGTCTGTGTGTATGCGTGTGTGTGTGTATGGTGGGCGGGTAGTGGGATGGCCTTGTGTGTGTGTGTCTGTGTGTATGCGTGCATGTGTGTGTGGTGGGCGGGTAGTGGGATGGCCTTGTGTGTGTCTGTGTGTATGCGTGCATGTGTGTGTGGTGGGCGGGTAGTGGGATGGCCTTGTGTGTGTGTGTCTGTGTGTATGCGTGTATGTGTGTGTGTGTGTGGTGGGCGGGTAGTGGGATGGCCTTGTGTGCATGTGTGTGTGTCTGTGTGTGGTGGGCGGGTAGCGGGGTGGCCATGGGCCATGGGCAAGGAGGCAGCAATTCAGGCAAAGTGGTCCCAGCTGCCCCTGGTTTATGGCTAATCCCAGCATTGCTCCAGCCTGTCATTCAGGGTGTGCTGCTGTCATTAGTGGTTGAACATTTCTGAAAGTGTTCTCTCTCAACTCCAACCACACGCCCTTTCGGGGAAGGGAGGGAGGGGCCAGGAGAGTAGCAGGACCCGCCCTGCTGTCATGCCCAGCTGCCCTGCAGAGGGTCAAGGAGCCCAGGGGGCTGGAAGGAGTCACAGGCCTGCCAGCGGCCGTGCGTGTGATGCGGCCGGTGTCTCGTTCTCTGTGCTGCCCCACGCGGCTGCCCCGCCTGGAGGGTCCAGCCCTCTGCTGTGGGCTCTGAGCACCCAATCACAGAGGCTTTTTTCTTTTGTCCTTTTAAGGGGATTCTTGGCTGAAATAAACCTTTTATTAACCAATTTGATCTCTCTCAAGCTCTCAGCCTCCAACACATACACACACATTCACCAGCAGCTAACGACCATCTTCCCCTCTGGAACTAGTCTGCACTCCTGCTTTCGATGAGGACTTGTGGTAAAATGCTCAATGCTAATATTCCTTCCCATGGAGTAGGGACTCTGAAATATTTTTCTTGACTGAGGTGTGGCTGACAGCTTTGATTTATGAAATTAGCTCAGGGAAAAATAAGATGGAAAAACAGTCCAAATTAAATCTTTATTTCCGTAGCTCAGTTGTGCTCTCCTGTCCATTTTTAACTGCCACGCAGTCTTAGGTACCAAGGACTCCAGGGTTTGCTAGGTTGCTTTTTTCTTCTTCTTCTTCTTTTTTTTTTTTTTGTAGTTTTGGCCCAAGAAAAACTTTTTCTTTTTAAATAATTGTGTTTCTTCCTCCCTCAAAAGTAGGCAAGTTTAATGAAGAAAATCAGAAAAACCTAGGAAAGCACAAAAGGAAACATCCATATTCCCAGCGTCCAAAGACAATCACTGTAAACATTTGAGTGTGTACCCATCATGTTGGAGAAGGTAGTCATGGGGCCACTTCCTTCCCCTGGGAATCTCTGAGTTTGTTGTACTGCAAGTTTTTCCCAACATCCTGGACCAGAATGTCTCACCAACAGAGGTGTTCTGGTGGGTGTGGAGCCTTCCCATGGGTGAGCTTTCTGTTCAAGGTTTTCATCTCACCATTGGGCGAGTGACCCATGAATAGCCCGAAAGGGATTCAACTTAAGTTCAGGCTTCCCCCCACCCCCACTCCAGCCTCCAACCAGAGAGTGTGGGTTCTCGATCTTAGAGTACCTAGATTCAAACCTCTGCTCCATTGCTCACTTTCTCGGTGTCTCTTTTCTCACCTGTAAAATGGACATAATAATAGTAGGTGACCTCTGGGGTTGCCATGTTGAATGAGATAATGTGTGCAAAATGTACAGCATACCACAGGTACCTGGAACCTGATATTCCAGCCCAGTGCATATTAAATACATCCTTTGTCCTTCAGTTCAGTTCAGTTGTTCAGTTGTTTCCGACTGTTTGCAACGCCATGAACTGCAGCACACCAGGTTTCCTTGTCCATCACCAGCTCCTGGAGCCTGCTCAAACTCATGTCCATCAAGTCGGTGATGCCATCCAACCATCTCATCCTCTGTCGTCCCCTTCTCCTCCTGCCTTCAATCTTTCCCAGCATCAGCGTCTTTTCCAATGAGTCAGTTCTTCCCATCAGGTGGCCCAAGTATTGGAGCTTCAGCTTCAGCATCATCCTTGCTTCCACACTTTTTGTAAGTGGTATTCTCACTGCCCCTTGTCCCGTGGTTATAAATTGTTCCCTGGACCTCTGTTTCTCTGCCTTGACAGAGATGGTTTTTTCTTCCCTGGGCAGTATAGAAATCCTCTCACTGTTGAAAAGTTGCATGTAATGATGGAGTAGTAGAATAATCTCCTTTGACAAAACAGAAACTGAAGGGCAGGGAAGCTCAGTCATTTTCATTGGGTGAAGGAAGTCAAGCTATGACAAGACTGTGGAAACACATACTGCCTGTTGCCTTGTGTTCTCTGAAGATGTCAGACAGTCTCTGTTGCTGAATTCCACCACTTTTCCTGTACAGATCCCTCTCTGCTTTGTTCCTCATTTACTTGCATAGACTGTTGAGTCACCTCTTCTAGGTAAAACATGGCAACATGCACATTGGTTGAAGTTGTCTAACGCCCTTAACATTTATTCCCAAGGCAGGCATGTTTCTAGCTATAGAGCAAATGGATTTGGATAAGTTTGGGGCTGCTTTTTTGGCTAATGGGAGAAATATGTTGTCTGTAGCCCGTCCAGTGATTTTCTTGTTTACTTCTTACGGTCAAGCCCAATAAAAATAATGTGATGGTCACAGGGTATTTTGCCAGTTATTTCAGATGTAGGGGCAATTCACTCTGGATTTGTTTACTTCAAGTGGAAAAATTTACCCGAAGTTACCTTCTGTACTTTTTACCAGGAAGGAAGCTTACCTGGGTTTCTCCGTTTGGGGCCAGCTTCTGTCAAGTCAAAGACCAGAAGGACTATTACAGGGCTTATTTCCCATAAATAGTGAGAGAGGGAATACGGTGACTTAGGTGGGGGCACAGTTCTTTCTTCTTCATGGTAACTTATGTCTGTTTTATATTTTGAACCTGCAGGACGCACAGACATTCAAGTGGTTCAGCCAGACCAGCCACAGCAGCCGGCGAGCAGAGCCCCGGTACTAGCAGCCGGCACCACCAGCCCGTCAAGAACCCGAGCCACAGTGGCTTGGCCAATGGCACAGGTGAGTGACAGCGCATAGCACCAGCCCGGACTAAAGCTGTGCTCACATGGAGCCAGGACTCTGCCTGCCGTGTCAGAATGCAGGGTGGGTGAGAGAAGACTCCCAAACTGAGATGGAATTTGCACTCATCATTCTTTCCATGACCCATCTTCTTTTCTCTCTGGCGTAGTCTGTATAGCCAAGGTCATTCTCCACATGACTGCACTCTTCTCAAACCTTCCTTGGCACAGAAATAAAAAGCATTAATTTTTAAATTCATTTCTTATCAACCTTGGATTTCTTGAGGGGGATATATTTTTTAAGTGACACTTTTTTTTTTTCATTTCCCTAATTTATGGAAATGATCAGACTAAGGAGAAAGAAGGCTAAGTATTCTGGTTAAGAGCTGGCTTAGAGAAGATGGTGGCGCTGTTGAATGGGTTGGGATGCTGAACTGGGGCAAAGCCCTGGTGCCACCAGGGGGCCTCCTGTGGCTATTCCATTGAGAGTATTTGTCCCATTTGAGAGAGGAGAGCCCTTCCACATCCACACCGAACTTCTCTGCACTTGATCCTGTTTCCCCATAAGTGGGAAGAGAAGGACCTATTTCAAAACAAATCCATATTTGTCCCGCTTTCCTTCCATCTCATTGGGACAGTGCTGAATTTAGAAGGGGAAAGCCATCCCCCCAAAGTTTATTCTTCTAAACATCTTGAGGATTGTCAAATCTTTTGTGATTTCTGGTCATTTGGTGATTTGTCTTAATTTGGGGGATTTGGGAAGGGTCATGGCCGTTTGCTTTGATAAACTGTAGGTAGGGGAATGCAGGTGTTTAAATCAGAAAGTGACACTGAAATAATTTTGTAGATGCTTGTAGTAGCAGAAGTGTGGAAAGGACAGGAAATTTGGAGCAGCATAACTTCTTCTTTTTAATAATTACTAAATTGTTTTATTCTTTTTATTATGTTTACAACACAACATTTAATTTCTAATATTTATTTAGCAAATTCACTATTTAATATTTCTTTTACTTACTGGAAGTATTAGATTAAAAATTAAGTGTCATTGGATTGAACATAGCAGCATAGCTTCTTCATGCAAGCATTACCCTGGTATTGTTACTGTCTTTTCCGTAACAAACTTATTGAGCAGGAGGCATCATTTGGGACTACCTTCTAATGACTTTCAGTTCTCCAGCACCACCATCTGAGGGCTCCAGAGCCACTGTGATAGCTTAGGGTGTTGGCCATGACATGGTCTGTGGCGGGCTGCAGGACAGAGTGGCCTGGGTCCTGCGAGATTCACTGTCTGTGTGGTGGCCTGACTTTCTCTCTGGAGTTTGGGACCTGTCTGCGGGAACTGAGTTGGCCAGCTGGCCCCGAGCCTTGAGGATGAGGCCACACTGGAGGTGAGGAGGACGAGTGGCTGGGCTGCTGTCTCGGCCCACCTGGCGCTCCTGTGCCAGCCACCGTGTCCAGGCGCTGGCGTTGCCAGTCACAGAAGCCAAGGGTGACCTGGCTTCCCATCTGTGTGGTGGAGACAGCAAGGTGGTGGCCATGGGCCATGCTGGAGGAAACCGTGTGAGCACCATGAGCACCAGTAAACATGCTTCTTTTAGAAAAATAAGTTACCCTTAGAAGAGAGCTGGTGTTCACAAATGGGCAAGGGGAACTGGCTTTTGGAATCAGTTGTTGCCTTGATGCCACGGCCATGATACCAGCCTATGTCCTCCCAGGGGCCTCCATACTTGTGATGCTGGTCTCCCTCAGCCATCTCTACTTGTCTTAGAAAGACAATTCCCTACTATGGGTAGGAGTAGGTCCCTGCTATGGGCACCCTGCAGGGTGTGGGCTTGATCCCCTGTAGAGGAGCTAAGATCACCTATGCTTTGTGGCCAGAAGACCAAGCCATTAAACAGAAGCAATAATGTACCATAATTTTAAAAAATCCACATTAAAAAAAAAACTAGCTATGGGTAAATTGCGTTTCTATGGTTATGGTCTTTGAGTCAGTCTCCTTGGATGTTTAAACAGGTCTGTGTTTCCCCTTGGCTTATTTTTAGGTACCTTTGCGTACTGTCCTTATCTCCAGGAACATTATGTATTTCAGCAGACGAGGCAGGTGCCAGCCACGTCTTCTGAAAGCCAAGTATCTGTAACCCCAAACTGCCTTAGAGATGTTTTATGGTGCTGTGTCTGAATGTCCAAACCGCTCCCAAGCCCGTCTGTGAAGGACAGTCGTTGCACGTTAGGGATTTCTGCCTGTTCAAACACCAAGGCTTTGGCCCCTGTCTCGTCTCTCTCTTTTCTGCTCTGAAGATGGTTCACCATGCCTCACAGCCAGCCTGGACCTGGTAGGCTTTTTAATGTCTATCCAAAGGTTACAGAAAGATCTCAGTTTTCCTTTGGGGAGCAGACAGGAGCCCCCTCTCTTTGGCAGCGCAAAACGACAAGGGGGTTGTGGCTCTGACTGAGGACACCTCCATCCCTCAATATGTCTCTGTTTGAACTGTAAGGACCAGTTCCAAAATGGTGGTGGTAGTGAGCCGTGCCTCCAGGGAAGGTTTCCAGAGACCCACAGATTTATTTAGCCAGTCTGTTTTTGGCTGTGTTCTGCAGCTGTGCATGAAAAAGACATCTGGGGCAAAAAGGGAGCCGAGTTCCAGGTGGTTTTTTCACGTTGTCACAACTGTAAAGTATCCATTTTTTATAAAAAGAAGGTGAATGGCAGCCTGTCTATATAAATATAATACTTCTAAGTTTTTAGAAGTGGTGGGCTCAGAGTCTAGGATAATGGCATAGCACTTTATTGAGACTTGTGTGCAATGATTTACTTTCTAATTTTTTTTTATTGAAAACTTTATCCCCCTCAAAAAATTACATCTCTCACTCAATTCTCCCTTAAATGAGATTTCCATGCATAGAGGGTCGGGAGTCACACAGGCTGTGGTCAGATTCTACATCCCCATGTGTAGCACGTATATAATGCCCAGGGACTTGATGGCCCTTAGTTTTCTAATTAATAAAATCAAGACAAGAGTTTATATCTCCTAGGGTTGTTATAAGGAATAAATTATGTAAGACATGTTTCATGTCTAGCACAGTGCCAGGTACATAGTAAGCTCTCAAAATTAGCTTGGCAAATAATTTCATATGGTTATAATTAAGTAGCATGGATACATGTTCTTTTCTGCATTTCATTATTTTTTTTAAAGATGTTTTTGTTGTGAACCATTTTTAAAGTCTTTATTGAATTTGTTACACTATTGCTTCTGTTTCATGTTTTGATTTTTTGGCCGAGAGGCATGTGGGATCTTAGCACCCTGACCAGGGATTGAACCCGTATCCCTTCACTCTCACCTCTTCAGTCTCACCTTGGCGTTGGAAAGCAAAGTCTTAACCTCCAGGGAGGTCCTAACTTCATTATTTTTGATATACGTGTCCATGTTTTAGGGTCTTTCTGTTTACCTTTTTTTAGTGGTTTCATATTATTTATCAGTTAATATGCCATAACTCATATAACCATTTCTCAGTCCTTGTGCATTTCTTTTACATAAAACTAAATCCTGATGTAAACATCTTTACACACAACTTGGTTTCTTCTGGAATGAAGTTCTTGAGTCAAAGGATGTGAACTTTTTAAAATCTGAAGTGTGTTACCAGATTGCCTGAATCTGGTGTTATAATAATCATATATGCCGAGGCATTGTAAAATTTTCATCATGGCATATGAGGCTTATTTTTTCCTTGACCTTATAAATACTAAGTTTGTCATTTTGCTAACAGGTATAGAGTCCCACCTCATCGTTTAAGCTCGTGTTTCTACAGTTATCAGTTGCTTTTCTCTTATGTGACTTCTTTCATAATGTTCAGTTATTTGACTTGTGGAGTTATAGAGGTTAACTTTAGAGATTATAGTCTTTTTAGTAGAATTGTGGTAAAATACTCATAAAAGTTACCATTTAAGCCATTGCTAAGTAAATAATTTAGTAGCATTGAGTGAAATCCTACTGTTGTGCAGCTTTATCACTATCCTTTTCCACAACTTTTCATCATCCTAAACTGAAACTGTACCCTTCACACAAAAGCATTCTCCCTCCCTTCTGTTCCCCAACCCTATCCCCTGGCAACCTCTGTCCTACATCATTTTTGCTTATTCATTATGACTGCCCTGGGTCTGTGTTGCTCTGCACGGGACCTCTCTAGTTGTGAGCAGGGTCTACGCTAGTGTGGTGTGTGGGCTTCCCATGCCGTGGCTTCTCTTGTTGCAGAGCGCAGGCTCTGAGTGTGTGGGCTTCAGTAGTTGCAGCACATGGGCTTAGCTTCCCCTCAGCATGTGGAATCTTGCCAGATCAAGGATGGAGCCCACCTGCATTGGCAGGTGGATTCTTAACCACTGGACCGCCAGAGAAGTCCTCTGTGTTCTCCTTTATGTCTCTCTGAATTTGCTTATTCTAGGTGCTTCATGTTTCACGTGGAATCATTTGTCCTTTTGACTCTGGCTTATTTCACTTGCTTAATGTTTTCAAGATTAATCCATGTTGTAACAAGCATCAGGGTTTTTCCTTTTCCAGACTAAATAATATTCCATTGTATGTGTTTACCACATTTAATTTATCCATTCATCTGCTGATAGACATTTAGGTTGTATCCTCCTCTTGGCTATTGTGGCTAATGCTGTGGTGAGTGTGGATGTCTGAGTATCTGTGAGTCTGTGCTTCTGGTTCTTTTGGCTGTATACCTTGGAGTAGAGTTGATGGTTCATATGGTAATTCTATGTTTAGCTTTTGAGGAACCCTCAAACTGTTTTCCACAGCAGCTGCACTCTTTTCCAACCGGCAGTGAATGAGGGTTCCAGTTTTTCCACATCTTTGTGAACACTTGTTTTTTTCTTTTTAATACTAGTCATCCTAATGTGTGTAAAATATCTAGGTACACAAGTTTTACTGGTTATTTTTATGATTATAAGTTTTTATTTTTGTTTTGCCTTTTATCTCATTTTCTGTGTTTTTTCTAGAAAGT